TGTCGCTTCAGCATCGACTGCAGTCAGCAGCTCAGTCGTAAACAATCGCATTGGATTAGTTTGTTAATCAGTTTTTTATGTGGCGGCAACTATGTTGTGATCAGCTTTCGAGTTAGCCATGCCCAACACGCAGGCACACAACTAAGGACAACTAAGCCAAAGGCAAACAGTTTTCAAGGCGTTGCCCAAAAGCAAAATAAAAGAAATCGAGCGGCAAATGGCAAAGCGAATCAATGAGAAATTCGCAAATTAAGATACGAACATCATATGCCATCTCGAGATTTACATGTCGGGCAATCAGAAGTTGAGGGAATATTAATTAAAAGCCAGCTGAGGCTTATGAAATCGGTACGAGGGAGGTCTGATACGTTGCTGATGTGAATATAACAGAAGCTCAATAGAAACAACAATAAGATTAAGATAAAATCATTCGCTTTATTTAGAACTACAATTTTTATACAACTCTTACTCAAGCGAAACACTTTTCATTCGCTATGTACAATGCCAAGATCTTAAATAAGCTATAGATAATGCCTCGCAGATATCTAATCTTATCTAATGCAGTTGCGACTTGCGATATAAATATAAATATATATATATATATATATGCACATAAGTATATAGATTATATTTATAGATTAGCTGCCGCACTTATCTAACACATTGCTATAAGGCTGTGCATATACCTTTACGAATACTGCTCTTGGCTACCTGAGTCCAATATTTCTCCAATTTTCCACTCATAATTCAGTACAGAAATCAATCATATTCGAAGATGTCTTTATCAGCGACACAAGGTCGAAGTGATTAGACCCCAGCGTATAGGAAAGAGTTTGGCTTGAACCGCTGACCTTCATTTATCATTAATTATAGAAACTTTTTGTGCCTGGTTGCAGTCAAACTTTCACTTAGCTAATTTGCAGTGCCACGCCCCATACATAATAGATGCGGAGGCAAAAGGCGAAAGACTGTTACAGTTCTTGGGCAATCAAATGTCAAGTGTTATTGCAGTTGTAGCTGCAGTTGCTGTTGCTGTTGCTGTTGCTGTTGCTGCCAGGCATAAATCATTTGAAAAGGTCAGAGTGCACACGCCTACGTGGCATGTTGCTGTGAGTGAAGCACAACACATGCTCGCCGGATGTCTGCAACAATTGTCAAGTGGTTGTCGCTGCAGCAAGCAACATGATTTATGCACGCCAGCAACACGAAACAGTTGCCGTTGCTGTTGCTGCTGCTGTTGCCGGCGACCCACTTAAGCAGCCACACTAACTTTGCAGCTTATCACAAGTCGCCTGCTATCTAAGGCTGATACGAAGGCTATCAGCAATGGCGACTGTCGCAGTTAGTTGCTGAAAACTTGCTGACCAAAAAAGCGAGCGAAAAAGAAAACCAAGTTGACAAGTTGCTGTTGTTGCTGCTTTTTCTGCTCTTGCTGTTGCTGCCATTGAACTTGAACTCTGTGCTCTGCTGTCTGCAGATGGCAAGAAATAAATTAAACATTGCAACAACAGCAAGTTCGACAGCAACAGCAACAACTCCCCCGCCAGCAACTGAACACTCAAATTAAAGTTAGCAACATTTGTTTGTTTGTTGTTGTTGCTGCTACTGTTGAACTTGTTTAGCATATGGAGCCCTGCACAACTGACTTTCCATATGTCTGCCCTTCACTCTAGTGCGCTTCTCTCTTTCTCTCTCAACCTCTATCTCTCTCAGCCACCCTCTCCCTTTTGGCTAACATTGCCCGTCGAGGCGTAACGCGTTTCTTTACGCTTCGTTGCCATCGTTGTGCTAATGAAGTGCTGCAACAACAACAACAGCAACAACAGCAACACAGCAGCAGCAGCTACCACTGAAATTGCAGCTACAACTGCAACATTAGCAACAAACAACAATATTGCAAACAACATTGCAGACAAAACCACGCAGCTTGAGACCAACTTTATAGTTCAGCAGCAGCAGCAGCAACAGTTGCTGAAAGAAATTGCAAGCATGTTGTTGTTTCTCTTGTTGTTGCTGTCATTGCTCAGCTCAATTTGAGGCTCTTCCGGTTGTAGTTTTTCATTGTCAATTGCAAACGTTTCTCTTGCTCCACGAATTATTTATAATTTAGCTGCTTATGAGCATTTTAAACTTTCTAAGAGTTGCCAGCTAGTTGTAGGGTTGCCAGATAGTTGTATAAAGTCATTAAACGCCGCCCGAATTTCAAACGTATTTCAGTCTAGTCGCTGCTCCAGATAACTCCGTGCTGGCATTATATTCAAGATAATTAGTATGCGTGCCATTTTCTGGTAGGAAATCCTTGGTACCTTGCCAGACTAATTAAATTATATTTTACGCTTTGCGATAACCGTGCCGCACTAGCCACACGTAACAACAGCTTCATCAACAACATCAACAGCTTTGAATTAAAAAGCCACGTACTCGGCCCCAAACAGCATCCTAGATAACCCTTTATATTCGGCATCCCCCTGCCAGTTCGCAAGCTTTTCACATTTATACAGCCGACTCACGTATGCGTAAAAATTGATTACGGTGCGTATGCGTAATGCAGGAACGTACAGCAACGCCCCACAGGCCACAAACGAGACGCTTAACAGGACATATCTCAGCCATATGAAATAAGTGAGTCGCCCTCTCAACACATCAACAGAATTTTATAGAAATTCTGGCTCTCAATTCGTGCCGAATTTCGCTTTGTGCAAAGGCAATTAAAGTGAATTATCAAACAGTTTATAAAAATGGATCGATAGCTGCTCTGACAGCTAAATAAAAACGCAAACGCAATAGCAACAATCTATTAAAAATGAGCTCAGCTCAAGCAATTTAGGTGCCGTCCTTGAACTCTGTAAACAAGTTGAGCTCTAGAAGTGGCCCACAGTTTACTTGGCTTTAGCTTTAGCTTTTGCTTTTCATTAACTGATTTGTACTATATAAAAAGCTTTTGCTGTCGTCGTTGTTGTTGTTGTTGAGCGTGTCGACTTGACTCAATTTGCATAAGCGACACGCAAATTAAAATGTGAAACGTGTTAGATGCTTATCAATAAGCGAAACATGGGCACGTATAAGACGGCAGGGCAGATGCAATACAGAAGTCGCTTTTGGTTAATAACTAACTGCGATAGCGTTTAGTCAGCGTTACTTACATTTCAACGTCTTCCTATACGCTTATAAATTCAATTAAGTACGCCTCACTCAGATAGTTTTAAGTTAACTCTGATTCAATGATATCATGCATCATGCATCATGGATTATGAATTTCCTATGGATTAACCGCATGCCAATGCTAATGTTAGCTAATTAGCAGCAGGGCTAAACTTATGCGAGAGAGCAGCTAGAACAGATCTTCTTTGGAATTTAAGCACAAACTTTTATTAAGTTAAGCAAAATGTTTTGATTCTGGCTTTCTATTTGATATTACTTTATTAGACTGGCAGACAGATAAAGTCTAATGACAGCTTAACGCTCTTAGTCAAGCTCTTCTATTTATATTATGTTGTCTGTGTTATTTCACTGTCGACTCATAAATACTGCTTCCTTGCTCGAACGACAATCGAAACTAATGCATAAAGGCATTTAACTTGTTTCCCTAACTCAATTACTTAATAAGTTTTAAGCTGCAGCTGCTACCCGCTGCCATTAGTTGACTTCATTATGCACTTCTTTTGGTTCATCCATTCAATGATTCATTTGTGCGTTCATTCAGTAGCTATTGATGCCACTTCAGCATTAGCTGCTGCTGCTGCTTTCGCTCTTTTCTCCTTTTATCGTCTACCCTTGGACAGCAAACTGCAATTACAACTTCCGCACTGAGTCATCTGACACAAACACATACACAATATCTACGCTGCGTATACTCTGTTAAGAATTGGAGTCGGGTATATTGATGCAGTGTCAAAATTTATTTTATTTATTTATAATGAATATGAACTGAGCTACTTTAAATTTGTATATCATATAAAACTTATATGAATGAAATTGCTAACCACTGAAGATACACTTCAAAGATCGTTGACAGTTGCGCAGCTACTAAGAGCTGTTATCCACGTTTAAAGAGAGAACTAATCAGTCAGTTGCGTTGCCTTTGCAGCTCTAATAGCGCTCATTAGCTTGATGTCGTTAATGTCTCATTGCTGCACTGCTCTTTGCTCTTCAGTTCTCTAAGTTTTTCCTCAAGCCGTTGCAGCATTTCGCTGACAAAGTGACCTCGCCGGCAACGCCGAGAGCCGTAAAGAGCGCCTCGGTCACGTCGCATCATAAAACATATTTCATGAACTTGTAGCCAGGCAACAAAGCAGTCAACTGAGTGTAGTAGGAGTTGAGGCGTTGAGGAGCTGAGCAGCCAAGGAGCTGGGCACAGGTTCTAATGCTAGTTTATTGCACAGGTGTCTGTGGAGACATTCCGCGGGCTGGGCTGTGAAAGCTGAGAAGGAAAGAAGTTCTGATAGAAGTTTTTAAAGCTGCGCTTAGAGGCTCAGACACTAGGAGTCATGAGTCATGAGTCAGACACCAGTTGTTGCTGCTGCCGTTGCTGTTGTTGCTGGGACTTTTGTTGCAGCGAAACCACTTGCATATCAATCAGGGCTTAAAATGCGATGCACGATTGTGACGTGCGGGCTGCAGAGGGAGTCAGGACGGGGCCACTCAATTGCGATGATGAATTATCGATGCAACTAGCACTCAATGTCCCGCAAACCTAACACAGCCACACAAATTTTGGCTTAAAGTTAAATGAACTTTGGCTATAAATATAATTTCTGGCTTGTCTGAAGCGCCCACGAGCATTCGGGCTGGAGTTGTAGAAGAACGACCTTAGTCTCCTTATAAATTTAATAATATAAATAAGTAAATATATAGCAAATATACATCTCTTCCTCTGCTTCAATCAATCACCTGATATTCAGGTGATTAAAGTTCAACATGAGCATTTATTAAATCAATAATTGTGGAATTGTTTTTAATGCCTTCTCTATCTCTGCCCCTTTGTATATGCTTATTTGCAGGCCCATGTGGTATCAGCGTTCGAACAGTCCCTCACCAATATGACCAATCGCCTGCAGCAGCTGACGGCGACGGCAGAGCGCAAGGATGGGGAGCTGACTGATATGCGACAGACAATTGAGCTGCTGCGCAAGCAGTCCATTCAGGCGGGCCTGACCACGGCGCACATGCAGAGCATGGGCGTCCAGACGCAGGGCCAGACCCAGAACGAGCTGATGCTGCAGCAGAAGCCGCCTCCAGTTCCCGCTGCCAACAGCCGAGCGGGCAATGCTAATGGAAATGGCACGGGCAATGGGCTGGGACTGGGATTGGGATTGGGCATGCAGCGACAGCACAGCACTGACTCGATGTGCTCGCTGAATTCCATCAGCTCGGGCTGCTCGGCGGCGCAGGACAAGAACAAGGCCAATAAGAAGAAAGGCTGGCTGCGCAGCAGCTTCACTAAGGCCTTCTCCCGCAACGCCAAGATCTCGAAAACTAGTCGCCATGTGGGTCAGCATCATCAGCAACAGCAGCACGAGCACAGCTCCAGCAAGACAACCTTGCTCAACGGACACGGACACGGACACGGTCACGGTCATGGACATGGGCATGGAGAGCCCTTGGGCTTGGCTGCTTTGGCCACGCAGCCAGCGCCGCCGCTGCCTGTGGCAAATGCATCCAGCAAGCAAAGCAGCCCGGCCAAGACGGTGACACTGATCGATAATGCAAAGCCCATCGATGCCATCGACGGGGAGGATCAGCACATGGTGGAGGACCTAAAGAAGCAGCTGCGCGAAAAGGATCTGGTGCTGACAGACATACGGCTTGAGGCCCTTAGCTCTGCCTCGCAGCTGGAGAGCCTGAAGGACATGATGAACAAGATGCGCGCCGAAATGATGTCGCTCAAGCAGAACAACGAACGGCTCCAGAAGCTGGTCACCAGTCGCTCCCTAGCGGGCTCTGAGGCCAGCCTCGGCCAGGCAATCAGCCCGAATGGTTCACTTGGAGGCGGCGCCGGCAGTTCGGATGCGTCGCGTCGCTACTCGCTGGCCGATGGCAATGCACGGCCTCCAATGGAGCTGCCTCCGCGTCTGACCGAGGAGCTGGAGGAGGAGTGCATGCCACCAGCACCGGCACCAGAGCCACCACCACCACCAGCGCCCTGTGCAGCAAGTGGTGCAGCTCCGCTCAGTCCCAATACTCACATAGATCTGACACCGCCGCCGCCAGCGCTGGAAGCTGGACAGCTAAGCAGCCCCGTGCACATGGCTAGCTGTGGAGCTGTAGAGGAGCTGCCCGATGTGTGCGATGGCAAGAAAATAGCCATTGCCTGCTACTTGGGACAGCCCGAATCCTTTGCCAAGTACTGCGAGGAGATGCTCGAGCTGGACGACTTCTATGCCAATGGGGCAATCATTGCCAGCCACGAGGCGGAGCAGGCTCAGGTGCAGGGGCAGGGCCAGGGGCAAGCGCAGCAGGCCGAGCGCCAGGGAAATGGCTCCAATGAATTTATTATCGCTTGCACATACATCTCGGGCAAGACGACCTGGCAGAATCTGGACTACATTGTGCGCAAAACCTTCAAGGATTACGTGGCACGCATTGATCCCGGCACCAACCTGGGCCTGAACACAGACTCCATTACATCGTATCATCTGGGGGAGGCGAAACGTGGCCCTGAGATGGGCTTCCCGGAGCTGTTGCCCTGCGGCTACATTGTGGGCAACGTGAGGACCCTGTATATATGCTTACAGGGTGTCGGCAGCTTGGCCTTCGACAGTCTCATTCCACGCAGCATTGTGCATCGCTACATAAGTCTGCTAACCGAGCACAGACGTTTGATCCTGTGCGGACCCAGCGGCACTGGCAAATCCTATCTGGCGCGTCGCCTAGCCGAGTTTCTGGTGGCACGGGCTGGTCGCGGCAATCCCTCAGAGGCCATTGCCACGTTCAAGTAAGTACCCAGTCAGGCCTCTGCTGACGACACATGCTAACTAGTTTATCTGCTCAACAGCGTGGATCATAAGACCTCGAAGGATCTGCGACAATATCTGGGCCACATTGCCGAACAGGCGGCCATAGCGAATGGCGCGTCGGAGCTGCCATCTGTGATCATATTGGACAATTTGCATCATGCCTCCGCTCTGGGCGATGTCTTCTCCTGTCTGCTCAGCGCCGGACCGGCCACCAAGCTGCCCTGCATCATTGGCACTATGTCGCAGGCTACCTGCAACACAACCAATCTGCAGCTCCATCACAATTTCCGCTGGGTAAGTCAAGCCTTTTCTCTTTAGCCTTTTAACTCATTAACTCATTCACTTCCTTTCGCTTGGCAGGTGCTCACAGCTAATCATATGGAGCCTGTCAAAGGCTTCCTTGGTCGCTTCTTGCGTCGCCGACAGTTTCAGTTGGAGCTGCAGACGCAGCATTCACAGCCAGAGTTGGCGGCTGTTCTCGCTTGGCTGCCTTCCGTGTGGCAACACATCAACCGCTTCCTGGAAGTGCACAGCTCCAGTGATGTGACCATTGGACCACGACTGTTTCTTTCCTGTCCGCTGGACTTGAAGGATTCGCAGGTGTGGTTCACCGACATCTGGAACTATCATCTGTCGCCCTACCTGATCGAGGCAGTGCGCGAGGGTGTGCAGCTCTATGGACGAAGGGGTGGCGCCTGGAATGATCCATCGGCCTTCATACGCAACTCATATCCCTGGCCCTACGGACCGGACTCGGTGCCACCGCTGCGACAGATCAATGCCGAGGATGTGGGCCTGGAGGGAGTGGCTCTCAGCAATGGCGAGCAACAGGACCCATTGGTAAGTGACTCAACAAAGTTCTCCTCAAAAGCCCTTTCCTAATTGCCTGCTTATTTTAGCTAAACATGCTGATGCGTCTGCAGGAGGCTGCCAACTACTCGGAGACACAGGATCAGGAGTCAGACTGCGCCAGCCTCGATTCAAACGTAACGCCCGACAGTTCAGCGGGTGCTGAGTAGTTCGTCTCTATTCACAGATCTTAACTTCTAACATGCCAAATGAAATGCTTTTGTTTTGCTTGCGCTGCGACGAAAGTCCTTCCACAACGTCACACACTCAAACACATCTCAAAGGAATTTTCTTGTGCTACTTTCGCATTCAAGTTCTAAAGCAGTTTCAAGACTTTTCCATTTGCACCAAACCAATAAACTATTGAGCTATACTCAGAGAAAACGGCAAGAGATCTTCACAAATCTGAGTTCCACGATATGAGGCAACAAGACTGTAATAGTACAATGGTTTTCTCTGAGTGTAGTATCATCATCTAACTCTTTCACTCTCTCTAATTCTCTCTGTCTACCTTCACAAGCCGCAAAATGTAGAATTGCACTTTTTAGCGCACTTGTTAAAAATGCAAATTTCCCTAAATCAGATATAAAAAATTTAGAAATTTATAAGAACTCATCTAACTCAAGGTAAAGGCCAGCGCAGGCGGAAAAGAAAACAAAAGTAAATTACAAATGGAAAGAAAGCCCAACATTAAATGTTAAACAATTGCTAAAGATCAAGCAAACACTTTTTGTACATAGAAAACCAAAAAAGCCCCAATTATATTTAAGCGACTAACTCTACAATGGTATCAGCATTTTATACCCTAACATAATCGAAAACGAAAAAGAAAAACCTATTGTAAATGTAGCCCTAAGTTTTTGCTACTACCAATATTTACAAGATGTACATTTAATGGAAAAAGCTTTCACTTTAGTTTAATTATTTGCATAATTATCATTAAATATTGTTACAAACATATTGCATATTTATAAAAACGCAAGTAAAGGGAGGAAGAAGATAAACTATTTAAACAATATATTATGCCATATACAGCGCTTAGCCGCATCAGCATCATAAATGCGAAAATCATATACGTAAAGACCCCGAAAAGTTCCCCTAAACAAATAGCAAAATTAACAAGCACAACTCCTATGAAACAACAATAAGAAGAGAACAACAGCAACACTAACAAAACTAAAATACATATACATATATTTAATACAATATTAAAATTATATGTCCTGTCTGTCTAATTTAAATGTGTACATTCATGAGATGTGAAATCAAATCAAAATCAAATAAACTTAAATCTATATAATACTAAATAATATTCATTTGACATTTATTTAAAATATAATAAATTAACATATGGATGGGTGACTATTACCCGCAATAAAAGTAATAGAATGATTTAAATCGAAGGAAGTGCGCGCCAATGTCGTCCCTACTCAGATCGGCGACATCCCTCTAAGCCACATTTAAAGTTGTTTGGGACAAGATAATGAGCGCTAAGTGGCGTGGACGGCGCTTCATACATTGTTGTTAAGCGCCATCTATTGATTAGCAGATTCAACACGAAGAAACAGGTAAAGTAACGCTGCAATAGAACTTGAAACCTCCATCTAATGCTTATCTGCATGTTTAATAGAAATAACTGGACAAGCTTAAGATAAATCACTACTTGATCAATGGACAAATATCCATGCTAAATACATGGGTCAACCAAACTAATCAATAGCCTATACACATCATATGTACTAACCATATTATACAAACTTACCATATATACTAGCTATTCTTTAAAAATAAAAAGTCTAGTTGCAACCGTAATAACATTAATCTAGTTTACCCAAATGATTTCAATGTAGAAAAGTAAAATAAAAAAAAGTCCAAGCACGTGAACTCAATAGCTTATAGCGATATATCGATAGTTGTTTGTCAGCAACTCTGGCAAATGAACCAAACTCAGTGGTAGTGGGTCATATGAACTATTTATTGCCTTGCGAACCGATAACAGACTCTACTAAGAACTCTCTGTGGCCGACAACAGATTTGGTAATTTGTGATATAGTTTGTAAAATAAAAGGTTACTATTGTGCATTTGCTTTGACCTGCTTGAATTCGTCTGTAAAATTATATTAAATGTTGAGTGCTTAATGCAACTGCTTGTTTTAATGAAATGCAGCAACCCACTGTAAATTCAGTGAAAAAAGTTTTCGATTACACAACAGCTGCCACAAGGCGAACGCGAGCTGTACAAATGCACTAAATTATTCACCGAAGTCTGCAACAAAATATATATCTATCCCAGAAATGGTTTTAGTAGCTACAGAAGCTGCAAATGTATGCTTAACTGTTCATTTCATTATGCACGTAGTCCGTGCAGTTGTTACATAACCTTCGATGCGTCACCCCGCACCCCCCTTTGGATACAAACATAGCTAGCGACATTAATACTAACATAACTCCCTCTTGTTTGCAGCTCTGAACTATGGCTCTTAGACTAATCAATAACGCTCTGCGCCGCCAGCTGGCTGCCCAATTGCCACATAACGCCCAAGTGGGCAGTGTGGCCTCCGTTCACACGCTCGATAAGATCGGCAAACGCGAGATTGTGGGCTTTGGCTGGAACGGCACAGCATGCTATGCGGATCGTGCTGATTATCCAATGCCCGCTGTTCGCTTCCGCGAGCCCACCAATGAAATCACCGCGCTGCGCACCAAGGAACAGGGCGACTGGAAGAAGCTCAGCCCACAAGAGATCAAGGCTCTCTACCGTGCCAGCTTCTGCCAGACCATTGCTGAGGTTCAAGCCGGCAGTGGCGAGTGGAAAATGCACTTGGGCGTTGGCCTGATCTTTACCGCCGCTGCCATTTGGATTGCCGTGCTGATGAATCTGTTCGGTAAGCAATACATTTGCTGATAACGGACATATGATAAATTAATTTCATGTTTTCAGTCTACGATGAATTGCCCGTCACCTTTGACGAGGAGCACCAGAAGGCGCAATTGAAGCGCATCATCGATTTGGAGATTAATCCAGTCACCGGCTTGACCTCCAACTGGGACTACGAGAACAACAAGTGGAAGAACTAAATGCAATCCACGGCAATTCCAACTTGAAAGTAATTAAGCAAAAATTCAGGGGCACTCTGTATATTTAAGTGGCCAGAAGCAAGAATAGTTGAAATTAAATAATGGCCGCTGCCAAGCCAAAAAACAAAACCGACGCAAACTTTTTTATACACGCACGAGACATTACAAGGGGACAACTCCCCTGAGAATCCTTAAATAATTATACATTTATATATGTAGATGCAGCTGCTTATATTTCACATAAATTTAAGAAATTTGCTTTCAATAGGACACAGTGAACTCCGATGGAGGTCGATGCATATTGTGGGCCCGTATATGACGCAAGCGATCGTTTATTAGATGAATGGATTTTTTTGCGGATTCAGCGAGGAGAAAACAGAATAATCCAGCGAGGACCTGCAGTAGAACCTGTTGTAGTAGCATTGTTGAGTTAGTAATGCCTGAGAATCAATTCCTTAGTGCGCAGTATGAGCTGCCCCGTCAGCTATTGGCTTGCGCGTTTACTTTACAAAAGGCAAAGTGTAACTAAAACGTTTATTAACGGTTTAATTTACCTAAATTTAATTGTTTTCCTTGAATACTATGCTTCATATAACAAATGCTAACGCGGAAAAATTCGAAGTTGAGTGAAGTTGACTGCGATTCACAAAAGCTTTTGTTGCGTTCACGAGCTAAACCTGTTACGGAGCAGCTCAGTAGCTTTGTCCATGCAGTAGCACAATATTTTGAACTCTAGATGGCGAGGTGCATCTGTTGACATCCAGCAGAAGCTCTACGTAAAGAAAGTATATGCAATTTAGTAAAATATATAAGCTTTAAGCTAAAACTATGTATGTATTTATATAGTGAATTTACGAGTTAATTCAACTAAGCGCAACACGACCAGACGTGTAGCTAAAGCTTTAGGTGTTCATGAAGATGAAATAAATTTTTTCATTTTATGTAAATCGTGGGAACTGTTTCATTGAATACACAGAATAGGAATTTTATGTGGGTGAAAATTACAGGCAATGCATCTAACCTTGCCAGCTATCGCCACTTGTTACTTTAACTATTTGTGATGCATCCAACTCCGCTCGCTCTTGATATTATGAAAGCCGTCGTGGGCGCGTACCGTATAATGCTTTCCCTCGATTCTGACCAGGGCCAGGCAGGCTGACAACAGAAAGAACAGAACAAGCTGACACATACTGACATATATTATATATTTTTTTCTGGTTGTTCCCTGAACACCCATACACTACAACTGTTGCGGGTAGCCAAAGTTTGGCTTACCTTGGCCCGTCTCATTAATTGCATTTGTCTTGGCCTGGAGCGTCTAATCAACAACTGCACGCTGCTGTTGACATTTACAGGGTGTTTTTATTTAAGTTTAATTCTGACTTTTAGTGGTGAACGCATCATTCCAGTGCGCCCAAAGGGGCTCGTGCTGTATATTGTGGAACCCATCGTGTGCATGCACATGCCGGAGGCCCGTATTTTGATGTTCGCCCGGTAAAGAAATCTTATAGCCGCCATTATACAATTCCTCCTCGGAGGAGGCTTTGTATGTAATCAGGTCTATTAGATCCGTAGTTCGTTGATGGGTTGCTAAATCTGTTGCACCTAATTGCACTTTGGCTTGTCTCAGTTGAGTTGGGTTCCTTTCATTGTTGACCGGATTTGCACCTTCATTGTCACCTAATTCCACTTTGGCTTGTCTCAGTTCATATGGTTTTTCTTCTCCTACTTTTGATGATTCCTTTTCTTTTGAAATATGTTCGCTATTTTCTTTCTTCTTATCGTATTTTCCCTGTGCTGCGTCCTTTGGATGTTCCACGTTATTTGCTTCATCTGTGTTTTCTGGTAACGTAACTCTGTCTTTTTTTTCTGGCTGCGTGCCCTTTGCTTCATGTTCTGCCCCTGCTACGCCTTCTGGCTGTTCCTCGTTATTGTTCTGTGATCCATGGTCGGTTGCTGCTCCGGCAGCCACTTCCGCAGATTTGTCCGCCTCCATTCTTTGTGGAAGTGCCATCATCAGCAAGAGCAAGGACAGCTGCAAAGATCGAGTTTTTTATGATTGAACTGGACCGCACACTGGGTGAAGTCATCTTACCAGTTTAGTTCTGACCATGTTGACGATCGTCTTTGAAGAAAGCGCATGCCAGCGGCGCTTGCCCTCTTTATAGTGGTAAATTTGCTCACATTTGTAATTGATTCGAACAGCTTCCTGATTTGATGGCCACAACCAATGCTGAGCATGACTGCGCCCAAACATTCCTAATTCAACACAGTTCAGAACGCAGCTAGGGCAATTCCCAGTTCTCGATTTCCGATTCTCCGATCTCTAGAGCTTTCTCAATCGACTACACTGCAAAATAAAATCTTTAGTTAATATTTTATTTGATAATAATATAAACTAATAATATTCATATATATATATATATATATATATATATATATATATATATATATATATATATATATATATATATATATATATATATATATATAATATATATATATATATATATATATATATATATATTTTTATTTATATATATATATATATTTATTTATATATATCGCAATTCAATTCGATTGTTTTGTTTGGTTAAAATAAGAATCTTTTTTATGACTAAGACCCTTTAATTTAGATTTAAATTAGCTGTATGTGGGCAGGCGCACAGATTCTGTGAAGCGCAGTGTAATTAAAAAATACTTGAATCTGCTCTGCCCTCTGTTCAATGCGCCCATAGACTATATAAAGCCAACGCAAGCGCAGCTCTAACCAGCAGTCTGCACTAAGCATTCGGTAAGAGATCAACTAACATGAATTTTAAGCTGTTGCTTATTGCCCAGGTGAGAATATATATATTTAGCTGCTGATACAAGTCGGTGATGACAGCTTCGTTTCGAGTAGCTATTGGCGGTCACCTGTGTACAGATTTGGGCTTACGATGACAAGGAAGCACTGGACGATGTGCATCAGCTGGCAACGACAACTGTGCCCGAGCCTGCGGTTGAGGAAGAAGCAACCGCACTTCCTGCCGAGGGGCTGCAGGGGCTGGGTGATGGCGTGGCACTGATCAACAAAGCAACTGCCTTGCCGGAAACAACGAATCCTAGTGTTGAAACCACTGTCCCCACCACAACAGCAACGACTACCACTGAGGCGCAAAAGGAAACCGATTTGTCTCCTTTTCCTACTTATCAGCTACCATCTTATCCCCAGCCACATCCATATGGATATGGATTTCCTTTTCCCCACCCAAATATTGGCCGTGAGCTAAAGCCTATCTCCGAGAGGTCCACTGAGACACCATCCACCGAAGCTAGTTATGCGGGCTATCCAGGCTATCCTTATCCAAGTTTTCCTATTCTACGCCCTCCCTTCTCTCCATATGGCTCACCTCCTTACCCATATCCGCTCGGACGTTCGCCTTATATTCCAGGCTTTGCACCTGGTCTTGGCGACGGAGCCAAACCTGAGAAAGGCAAACCAGTTGCTCCTGACGCTTCTGACAAGGGAAAGGAAAACGCCAACGAGGAAGCGCCCAAGCCGCCCGTAGAGCCTCCCAGCTTTGGCTATCCCCCAGTCTATTTGATTCCACGGCGCTTTCCATATGCGAGAAACATCGGAGGCTACGGCGCGCCCTACGGCTACGGACGCTAGTCTAAGCTATTGATTAAGTGTTTATTAAGGCGATAGCCCGATTACAAGTTGAATCGTGTGCAATAAATATAAATGCAGCAATTTATTATAGTTATCTCAGCAAAGCTTATTATTATATGAATCATAAATAATCCCATCTTCTCTGCTCGGTAAGTATAACGTCTTATACAACAGCTCAGCCTAGTTGGAATCTTTTCTATGGTAAGGATGAGGCTAACTTTTCGATAAAGAGCTGAGGCGGCATTAATAGATTGTTGTGACCTCTTAAATAGACTTACTGTTGTTGTTCAGTTAAAGAATATGTTATAGGCTTAAATATATATAAGAATACATGTCTACAGAAAGTGTACTCACTTTACCCTGTGCATGACGTATGTATTCTCAAGATGCAACTAAAAGTTATACAGTATATAAAGTCTATTCATTGTAAATCGTGGCTTTTCCCGCCTGCAACGCTGATAACCCTGATCGCCGGTCAGCGATACTCTCATCCAGCATCTCTCACCTCGTGCAAATCCAGTCAAACGTGTTACTCGTTTCCGTAGAATCAGAACCTCAAGCTGCCTGCCAATCGAATGGGTCATACAGTTGCCAGTTGTCTAGAGAGCGAGACGTAGCGAACATGTTCAGCCATTGCAGCAATAGTCTCGCTGGCCTGTTAATCGGCCTAGTGGTAAGTTTATAGGCATATATGTATTATATATGTATTATTCATTCGAGTCTTGCAGATCTGTCAAAGTGCTTCTGTGGAGTGGGTAAGAGTTTTCGCAGCTCACTGGGTTTGTCTCTCTATATGATTTGTTCCTATCACATTTTCAGGTGCGCATTAAAAAGGACACACGTGATATATCATCGGATAAGTTCAAGCCTCTGCAGCCCTCATCAAAAAATGAAAATGAGGCACCAATGACCGTAAACAATGACACAAACTATCATTCGGATTTTCAAGAGGTCAGTTCTAAGAGATCCCTGAATATACCAACTTTTTCCCATCCTGACTTCCTTCCCTCAGCACTCAACGGCGCAGGCTCATGCTAAAGTAGCTCCCTGGGAAGGAAATAATGAGGATAGGTCATGGCCACCCACATCGAGATTTCCCGCACCAAGTCGCTTTAATTACCCCGAACGGCTGCCCTTTCCAGCAGACAGATTTATTACGGTACGCGATCTATGGCAACAGCAGCTAAGAGCAACAGAGAAGGCAGTTTAACTAGGAGCTGAATCCTGCTCTGCGCTGCTTCTGTTATACTGGGAAAATTGCTTAACCAGTTTCTTTTCTTTTATATGAATTAAACAGCCCAACTCTGGATCCTCATTCGAGACGCGCGTTGACCCGTTTGTCGGCGGCCATAGAATCAGTGGTCCTTCGAGATTAGGTCAAACTGTTTTTGGAGAAAGCGGTTTCAGTGGTCCGATGCCTCTGAGCATACATACGGTACGTAAGCTCCATAAACTCTTATTAATCACTGACTAAAAACTAGGTAATGCTCAAATAGGGCCAACGCCTGTCTACGAGTAGTGGATTCTTCAATCCCATTAACAATTTCGGTGAATCTGGTTTTGGTGGCGACTCTGCCAATAATTACTATCGCTCGGAATCGTATCGCTACAGCTCAGACGGTAGCGGGCCACCTCACGTTCAGCAAAGCGTATACGACAGTCGCTTTGGAAATGACTTATCGAATCGAAAGTTTTAACGAATAACTTCCAGGAACTCAAATTCTAAATCGTCTTAAACAAAATGCGTAATTCAGCGCAATAATGAACTGATAAGTTTCCGCATTCATTGATTGCACAATTTCAAATCGGTAAAGATTAAGCATACAGAAATGTAACGGTAATCAACAAGCATTTAGCCTACTGAAAATATATACAACACTGAATAAAATATAAGCGAAAATTCAGCTCGTAATGAGAGCATATTTTCTGATGAGGAACAAAATTTGAATTGATATTTAAAACTTTCTTGCTAGATGATGAAGCTGCAAAGGCAGCATAGTTTATAAGCAAAGGCTTATAGGTTTAAACACCACCTATTCTCGGACAAGAACTTAGTACAAATACTTTTTTTTTATGCGAGCTCTTATGAGTCCTACACATGTTTGCCTGCTGCTAAAACGGTTTCTCTACCGGGTGCTGTGACCTTTCCTGTAATCAACGCCGACACCTCTTCCCGCAGTTTTTGAGGAAATACCCAATAGACATATATATACCAAATATATTTGAGTATCGCTTGGAACGTAGCATCAAAGTATTGTAATCAAACTTTGGAGAAATGTGAATGGCCGCTTTCTATCGTCGGACAGTCGATTCTGCAGTTAGAGAGTCATCTACTTCACTGTGATTAACCCCTAATAATTCCAATTGTCAGCGTTTTAGCCTCTCTCCTTTTCGGTATCATCAAGCAAATCTGTACTGGGTAGCAGCATCTCATTGTAGAGTCTCTCAATCTCATTTATGGACAACGACCCTCGCCTGCACTCTGGCAATAATAATAAATATTTATTACATATAGCTAATACAACTGATAAGCAGATCAAAGCAAATAAAATTGCCCCGAGAGACTAATAAGTTTTCATTTATGTTTAGAACGCTGCGATACTTAGGAAATATAACTAATTACAGAAAATATACAAAAAGATTAAAAAAGCTCAGATTAGTTTATGGAATCCATAAATTGTTCCTTGGTTCGACTATATTGAGCCACCATATCATAAAGAAAACAAAAATAATACCTAATTTGCAGACAGAATTATCATGAATATTATGTTTTTTATAATATATATGTATGTATGTATATATCTGGAACATCAGTTGTTCCAGTTGTCTTATTTAAATAATTGAAACCTAAACTAAAATATCTGAATTCCACATAATATAAGGAGAACGTTAACAATCTAAGTCTGCTATAATGTCTTCTAGCATCAAATACTTGATTTCAATATCGCTTTCGTCTTTGAAATCCGTAAACCATTTTGGCAGCTCCGTTTCCTTGATGTTCTGCCTTCTCAGATAGGCTTCGATGTGATCCTCGGTTCGCTCTATAAACATGTACAGTTGCTTCTCCAGATTTTTCTCGAATGTGTCGAAGCCAAATTGACGCATTAGCTTGTCCACAAGACCTTCGGCTTCCTCCAACTCTGGGCTATCATCCTGCTCATCATGATAATATAGATCTAAAAAGTCCATTAGCCAAATCAACAAGTCATTCAGCTCCTCAAAGTCAACTTTGTGGCTTGCGCGCTCAATGAATGTGGTAATTTCATCGAGTATAATCCGATCCATTTCGTTGGGTTCCAAACGCTCGGCAGCATCGATTATACGCTGAAGCAGCTTCACGGACTCGCTCAAAGCCCGCTTGCCGAATGTCGTGGCCTCTCGAACCAGACTCGTTTCAAGTTTCTCGCAGGAGGTAATTGGATTAGAGTTCTACGTGAAAGTGGATTAATTATAGGTCAGCTGTATAAGAAATTCTTTAAAATGGGTTCTTTACTTTTGATTTATATAAGCTTATTCAACTTCGCAAACTATTTTTTTATTGTTAATTATTTTTTAATTATCTTTCATTTAAAAAAAAAAAAATTCAAAATTCAAAATTCAAAATTTATAATGGATCCCAATGTTATTCCATAGTTAGCTCTCTTTGCCTTAAAATTCAATGCTTTAACTATTTTTCAGTCCGTAGTTACAACTGTATCAGAACATTGATTGAATATATATTTAATATAGAAATAAATCTGAGCAAATTTGCCTTTTATTATATGAAGTTGTATAAAATGAAACACGGGCTTGCTGTCAGCGACAGAAGATTGAGTTACTTGTTAGATAGGTTGAGTTCGAGGATTAAGTCGGAAGAATTAGATGTTTGCAGATATATCATAATAATAACTCAACATGAAATTTTGTTTTAATTTTTTAAAGCTGTCTCCTTTTTGTGCATCTTGGCTTACCGCTGAGTGCAGGACTGCGAATAGGAACACGATACGCCACATGCTGCAACTGGTTGAAAGATATTTGGAAGACTGCATTGTTCTATTCCAGGCCCACTAGCCTCTTATAGGCACGCACACAATGTGTGGCTCGTGGGATCGTTGAAACATTCGCGACTCTATAATCAGTTCAAGTAATTCGCTTGACGTGATAACAACGTTCCGTTAGTAAAATGTTCAGTGCACGATTATTCATCAAAGCTCAGCTGCTGCTACTGATGCTAATGGGCGTATGTTATGTGCCACGCCTCTCAATTCGCTTAATAACTTCTCAGGTTTTTAATAGCCAAGTGTGGCGCTGCCCGGCAGAGAAAGCTTCTTGGAGTTGCGTAAGCTGCTCAGGCAACAGCAACATGACGAGCAACAGCTCAAGGAACAGCAGTTCAACGAGGACCTCAACTCCTGGGCCCAATCCCTGGAGCAACTGGGTCTAGATCTAGCCGGATTTGTGAATCAGTGTCGTCCACGGGGTAGCCGATGTGGCCAGCGACTAGTGCAGCGCCAACTGCGTTCGCTGAGACGCAACCACAGTGATCTGCGCGCCCAGCTGGAGACCCTTGAGATCAGCTACGTGGGCAAGATCAGCGAAGAGGAACTGCTGATGCCCACATTGCGGGCTGTGAGAACGGTACTGCAGCAATACGAGAACTTTCTAAGGCTGATTAACACAGAGGCCTACAAATTAGTGAACCAATAGAGTATCTGACTCCTGCAGCTAAACGTGAATATTTTATTGTGTAATAACAAAACTGTTCTCTTACATTAGTAAACTGACAGATCCACGCGATCGTAAGCTCCCAGCTAAAAGGTATATTTAAATATAATAAATATACACTGATAGGAAATGCGAAGTACAGCAATGTAAAGGTAGTTGACTTCGACCAGTCGGAGATTATATAAATATATATATCTATAGAAGACCTTTGTTTCCCAGTAGCTCACATAGACCTCAGTCGTAAATTCAACTTTTGAAGGGATTTCCTGGGAGTTAGAATTGAATATAAAACGTTTTGTAGTGCTTGCGCAACGGCGTCTAAAATAATTTTTCCCTGGGCCATGTAGTCCATTAACTGCAGCTCCGGCGCCTCTTCTCGCAGCTTAGTTGGAAATTCCAGATAGACCTCGACGATACTATCCGCAGTTTCGGACTGCCAACGCGTCAAATTGTTTATAAGTTCCCATTTCACCTGATTTGTGAAATTGAAGTACATCATCAAATGTACTCGCACTTTGGAGAAGAAGCGGCGAATAGAGACTTTCTCTGCGGGCAGCAACTGCAGGAGCACTTCGTCCGGTTGGCGTCCTTTGAGCAAGTCGTCATGGATTAGGGAAAATATTAGGTATGCCGTGCTATAGTAATTGTCTTTGTCTGCAGTGTCTAACATTTCGAAATATTCTTTATCAATTAAATTGCTATTATTTGTATGATGCAGCATTTGCCGGCAGTTATCGACGCTCGACTGCAGCACCTCATTGTAGAGCTTTTCAATCTCCTGTACTGCAAAAGCAGCTGCACTGCTGTTCATATTGACATTTGCTGTGCTCTGAAAATCAAATTGTATATACTATATAGTTAAAGGCGGCGCGTGGAATTCGACTCGACTTACCCGATTGATAAGCAGCCCGAAGCAGATTAGCAGCGTCAGCCACTGCGATATTGAGATGCTGCCGTTCATGTTTGCCTTCGGATTGAAACTGAGCAACTGCAAAGCTGAGGAATTTTGGAAACAGACCTCTAAACAAGCCAGTGGTTCTACCTTTGCTAAGGGTATTTGAATTTTGTCACTTAGCATGTACATGCGGGAATTCCATGAGATTTGTTTGCATTACTTGTATCAAATTTGATTACGAATTACGAAACTCTTTTATTTTTATTTCTCATATACAATCAAACATTTTTTTACTAGTTATACAAAATGCTGTGAATGAAAGAAATAACAAGTGCAAATGGATTTTGTTGTATAAAATGAAAATAGAGCTAAAAGCACATTTGCAGCATCAAACAGAGAGGGTATCTCAGCGTCGGCACTTCAAGCGTCCTTAAAGGAAAAACTCAAATAATGCAAGTATGTAAGTTAAGTTGAAGCTTTTATTAAGCACTTTAGCAAAGGCAGAAATCAAAAGAAACTTTACATTGATTAGTTCAAATTGTAAAATGAGCAAAATTTCAAAAGCAATTGCGTTTTCACTGGATAATGCTTATTATAAACAGGTAATTAGTTAATTAAGCTAACTAGAAAAAGAACTGAGTGCATATATTTATTGTATATTTACAATAATCCTATTATCTATAATATGCTATATTAGTTAATGAATAAGCCTCGCAGCAAATGATCTGCTCATATCGAATATATAGTATATATTTTTTAATGTAATACATACATATTATATATAACATATATATATATACTTTTTTTCTAACAGCTTGTCAGTTAGCACAGATATGGAGAACATTTTATATATTTATTTGTTTATATTATTTAGTTTCAAATTTCGTTATTTAAAAATAATTCAACATTTTAAGAGCAAAAAGAAAAATGTTTTGGGACTGTTTTAATTGGAGTTCCATATTAATGTCCTATGAAAATGCAGAATTAATATCGTAGTAAATCTAGCTCAATATGTTTATCTCTTATATCATTCGCTGAACATTCAAATACTTAACTTATCCTAATCATTTATTTATATATATATTTATGTATATATGTACAATATTTGCTTAACGATTTACTTTTATTGTAAGCACTTATTTTATATATTCAGAATATTACGCTTTACATCTGAGTACATAGAATACATTCAGAATGCCTTTGTACTCATCGAACTGACAAACGATTCAAATTGACAAGGAAATTGATTGGATTACTTAAACCGATTTGACGTTGACATTACGTATTTCAAGTGTGGCATATTGTACATAGGTGTTCGAAATTGATTGCATAAAGCCTATTGAGAGTTGAAAAGTTTAATTTACTTTAGGTACAGCAATTGTTTAGGTACTTTTTGAAACTGGGTTAATATACGGTGTATATATATATATAGTTGTATATCTGGCTATATAGAAATACTTATATATTGACGCCGCTTGAGCATTGTACTTTGAGTTGTATTTAGTTGAGATTTGAGGCTCTTAAATAAATAGTTATACTCTACTTACGCCTAACACACATATATACATAAATATATATATATATATCTATTCTTGTTTAGCTAAATATATATTTCTATTATCGATAATGCTTAATCGCTGCAAGGTACACATGACATTTTAACTTTATAAAGCGCAAGGCTTCAAAGTTTTTTAACAATTTTTAAAAATAATCTGAAAAAATTTAACGAAAAAATAAACTCTCTTAAGCTACTTAGCATCAATTTTCTAGTAGATTTAACACTTTAACTAATTTATGTTTTTATTCTTTTTTTAATTTTAAATTGTAAAAATAGTTTGCTGCAAATTGAAGTAAGAAAATATACATCCATATATTTATTTTACTTAGTACAGCTTTCTTGCACCTAAATTCTGTTATCTAGAAGACAGTCCATTGAGTAGAGCTTACAGCTAAGGGGATCTTGAGTGTGAAATACAGACTAAGCTTGAGTATGAGTATGAAAATTGAATAGGGGAAATGGTATTCCAAAGACCATTGAGTAGCACTTACAGCTAGGAGGAGGTTCTTTAAATGGACATTATTAGCAAGCAAAGGAGAGATGTAAGAGGAATAGTCTCTAAAATTAATCGAAGTAGGTATCTTACATATATATACCCTTGCAAAGAAATGAAATACATTTTTTTTTATAATTCTTTACATATATAAATATACGGGAAAAATGTTTAGTCAATGTGAAAAAGTCAGCAAGCCTAAGCATATCTTCATGAAATTAGACATATATTCATGTTGTATTCGAGAAAGCACATATATACACATGTTATGTGTCGAACTGCTAGTTTATCTTATAAATGTTGTGACAATTAGATGTCTTATAATAACATGCTTGCAAGGGTATTCTATCTACGGCAACCCCAAGCTACAACATTCTCATTTAGATATTTATATATCGGTACAATAATTCTCATTTAATTATTTATAGTTACCTAAATTTTCATTAAAACTACTAGAACCGAATACACATATGTTGCATGGAAAATTTAGTGACCATAGGAATTCCCAGTTTAGGAAAAGATATGCTGCTGGGGCAGGCCGCGGCATATTTTTGCACAGGTGAAGCCATTGAGTTTGTAAATTTTCTAACCTACTTTAATATTTCACCCAGATACGCTACAATTTGGTTAAGTCTGTCCGAAAATACAGAACACGTATAACACTCTCTTTGAACTTGTCGGCTTCTCGTATTGTCGTCGGAAAACGCAAATGTCTCACAGATCCTTTTCGATTCGTAGTCTATTCTACTCAAGTGGAAATTTCTCATACGCTTTTTGTGAAAGTAATTGACGGATATATCAGAAATATTTAAATCAAGAGTACCCTAGTCGGGAGTGTCCGACTAGAAAATACCCTGAACCACATTTGCAGCCTATCAGATATTCCTTTCAATTAGATCTGCCATGTTGGGGCTCAGGGTATGAAAAAAAGAAATTGTGTATGCTTTGTTATGTATTTATTCATGTGAAATCATATTATAAAAAACATTTGAACATAAAAGTAAACGTAAAACTAAATTAAATTAAATGCTGTGTCTGAGCGTCACACAAAAGACAGCGCAGGAAACAAATGTTACAAAACAGACTACACTCAGAGAAACACTAATATACTAAAGAATATAGCCTGAACGGAATAAGTTTGCTAGATTCAAATAGTTGAGTGTTTCGTAAACATTTGGTATAAATTAAAATTAAAGTATATTGAATTTTGCTGAACTTTAACAAGTTTCTCTGAGTGTAGCAATAAGTTAGCGAGCGCGAGAGAGATGCAAGAGAACAATTTTACTTTTTATCACAATTGCGTATGAAAAATTTCTTTAATTGCTAGAAACCACCCCGCCCAGTGCCGCCCCCACTGCCAGAGTGCGATGCCCCCAGCACTGATTGCGGCACCAGGATGCGAGGCAGCGTTAACGAACGCTTGGGACAGCCGTGCCGCTGCGGCGTCGTCTGATCAGGCGTATGGCCTGCAGACAAGCTGGCTTGGCCAGTTGTAGCTGCCGCCCCGTCTACCTCCGTTGGTGGCACCGGCCCCTCAACGAGCTGCTCCGTGGGTCACGCATACGATTGCGCCGTTTGGGGCATCATGCCGGCTGTGTAGCCGGCGTCGAGACCGGGCCGCTGCTCCACCAGATTCTTGAGTCGGCCACGCAGCTCTTCGAGACTCTTGGACTTGGCCTTATTGATGCGTTTGTACTTCACATCCTTGGGCTTGGTTACGGATCGATGATTGGACATGACACGATTGTAGGTCGTCACCTGTGACTTGCCATTGGACTGGTCCGCAACTGGGCTTGGGGTTTGTGGTTGTAGTTGTGGTACCTTCATACTAAGTGTGGTGCAGGGCGTGGCGTCGTGGCTAGGCGAGCGTTTCAGTGCGCCTAATTGGCGACGCGGCACGGCCATGGCCGTCCCTATGTCCCTATCTTTGGCTTTGCTGTCCGTGGCATCCGACACTCCATCGATCTGTCCCTCGGTTGAGCTAGAGCTGAGTGCTTTGTCCGAGCGATTCTTAAACTTGTCTCGCTTCTCGGCAACATCTGTGGTTGGCTCCGGATCCTCCTCTACGGAGTACACCGTCTCCAGTATATCCGGACGACGCAGATAGCAATTGTTGCGTCTGGCCGCTCCATACTTATTCAAATTCGTCTCAATGGCATCTGATATGGAGCGCACGATGGTAATGCCATCACTAGCTAGGACACCGCCCAATCCACCGCCTCCGCTACTCTTGCGACGCGTACCAAGTGTCATATTGCTGTCTGAGTCAATGTCCTCGAGCACGACCGCCGAATCGGAGTCGTTCAGCGAGTCCAGCTCATTCGCATAGCTCGCCTCGATGCTCTCCAGTCCGTGATCCACCAGGCGAGTGGACAGCGTATCTATAATCTTCTGCTGACGCTGTATGGTAAGCTCTCGATGGCTCAATAGACTTGAGATTTGCTTCTGCTTGCGCTTAAGCCGCGACTCCAGCAGAAGCAGCTGTGACGTCAGCGAATTCATCTGATCCGATTTCTCCTTCTGATAGCGGTAATGCTGCTGCACCTATATATAGAAAGAAAATTAAATTTATAAAGTGATCGTTTTCTATTTCTTACAGTCCTATTCCTCCAATATGCTCGAAGATCCCTCAATTTCTTATCACATCTCGTGAACAATTTAGGAAAGATTATCCAGCAAATGTGCGGACATTTTTATTAAAAATCCTTTTAAAAATACGGATCTAAAATATTATATATAATCATAATGCGGCCTTCCTCACACTATCCACACAGAACTAACATTTTTAAATATAGAAATGTTTTAATTTCTCAAAATATTAAAATAAAACCTTTCTTTAAGTTCCCATATAAGTATTGTATATAGACTTAATTTACTTCAAGTACGGAAAAAATGTCAAAAAGGACCAAACATTCCCTAGGCGGAAATCTAAGGAAATTAGCATTGTACAACGAACTCATGTAGATACTGCATTGCGGGATTCGAGCTTAGTGTGCTGATTGATATAGACTCACCTGCATGGCATAGGCCTTGCGCCATTTCATAATGTGTTCCGTCTGGAAGCGCACCTTGGAGCGCAGCTCTTCGATGATAGCTCGTGCTGTGTGCAAGTCCTTTGGATCCTGATTCATCATATTGAGGCGCAAGTTACTCGTGTGACTGGAAACGGGCAAAGGTGGTGGCCATTGAAACTCCAAAGGCGGCTGATGCACGTCCGTAGGCAGCGAGCCACGCGGCTGGGCCGCTGACTTGTTGGACTTGGGCGTAGAGGGCACAGTGCCTGCCCCACTGGCACCACCCACTCCGGTTACACCGCCAATGCCCACGGCAGTAGCGGTCATAGTCATGGTAGCCGTCGATGCTGGTTGCGAGGGCTGCTTTTGTATGCTGCACGCCATGCTGCTGATAGTCTTTGCGAATTGCGTGGCCCGGCCGGCATACATTTGGCCTGGGGAAGAAGATCTGGGGATCTGTGGGCTGAGGGCTGTGGGGTGTGGGCTGTGGGCAGCGAACCGCTAGACGGCCAGCATGCGCCCCAACGGCTGCAGCTTGATTCTTATGCGACGAGCTGTCCCGCTGCAATGCAACACAAAAAAAATATATTGATTGGCAAACATTTACGCGGACGTTCAATTGTGTCGGAACCTGTGTTTCAGCTCTGTGCAGCGTATGTTATATATATTGAGTGTTAATCTAGAAATGGATTGATGCAGCTGGCTGGATGTGCTTGCAACAGCGCAACAAATGATGAGCAGGCTGCAGTTATAAATGAGCTAATATTGTGTACCACAGTTTTAATAATTGGATTGAAGATAAAGTTCAGTAATAGTTCGTTGGATTGGAGAAATACTTTCACACTCAGTCGAGCAGTTCTTTATATATTAAATTTGTATTTCAATGCTAACTAAATCACTGTTTTGTGCTCTGCTATTGTGAATGTGAGTCACAGTGAACATCGCAGTTCTTAATCATCCAGCTCTCGCTTTGTCTGTCAGATGGCCACCTCGCATGTTTGCATACGAGTGTTTGGACGCCACTTTTCTTAGCACATTTGTCAAGGCTGCCAGCACGGGTCACTCTCATAATGCCTCGCCTCCAGCCCGCCCTTAGGAGCGTAGGCTAGAGGCACACCTTAACTCCGCGCAGGACAATGTGCTCAGAACTGAAGTCATGTGGAAGTAATTATTTCTGTGTGGCTCTGAGGCTCGTGTTGCGCATTAAAATGCGACGAGATAGCGGCATAAATATTGCGCATACACCGCGTGAGCCAGCTGTCATGTAAATTACGTTTGGCCGAGAGCAACAGCACAAAATGTGATATTATGCAAAATGGGCTAATTATTTGCATACTGCGGCTATAGTACATAAATTAAATTCACGTTTAAATGCTATTCAGCAAATTAAATGCATTGTCGGCCGCTTCAGGCAATCATAATTATAATTAAAATTATTAATTTATAGGCGCTATGATTTCATTACTTTCGCTTTTCCTCCTGCCCCCTCCCCACATTTATGTAATTTGGCAGCACTCAGCCATAATGTTGCCTTCAATATGCTCAGGTGGGGCATACTCTAATTTCTATTCGTTTATAAGACCGATAAGGACACTCATTACTATTTTATGGCGCTTTGCTCAGCAGTCATTTATGGGTTTATTACTTTCGGCTTTGCCTGATTAGAAGATTAGCAGAGCAACACGACTGTCATGTTTGTCCTTATAGAAGAAAATTATGGAAATGAATAGTTAGAAGTTTGAGGTAAGAATATTGTCAAGTAATAAGGTAATTAAAGGAACAATAATTGCCAAGCTGCCACTCATAGCAATCAGATCGTTGTCAAATATCTAACATATGGAGATATCTCATAAGGCATATAAGCTTTTGCGTAGACCAAGATGTAGCCGTGCCTTACTTATATGTAAAATAAGGATTATTTATTTTTCATAATTAGATATTTTTTAGCCTCGCAAACATGAAGCTTACAATGTTTAAAAGTCCGAATTGCCAAAGTATTCGAAAATATTTATCCACAATCAGTGGGCATAAATATATATATATCTATATGCCTCTCATATATATATATAAGTACAATAGACTGATATAGGTAAATAATAAATTAATAAATAAAGCAAACAAGCTTCAATAGTTGTTTCAATCAAAAAGTTTTTAAAATGATTAACAATAATATATTTTTTGAACAGAGGATGAACCAAGCTAAAGAAATATATAAGTATATATATATAAGTAGAGATGATAATGATAATCAAATTAATTTTTAGTTTTCATCTTACTTAAATTACCTCATTTCATAATATTTCTAGTGTCTTTAAGCTGAAGCTAAGCTGAGCCCATCAGCTTTGAAAATAGTAAAAAATATAAGAACTGGAGTTGTTTGTGAATTATGAAAAAATATATAAATGGCACACTCCCATATTAGACTTTGCTTTGAACAAGTTTGCGAGGGGTGGAAAGAATGCGAGTTGGCCAGCAACTTAATTAAGGCAACGCATAAAATTTTATTGGGCGTCAAACAACCTGTTGGACAGGCGGCAATAAATCCAAGTTCCCAATTCGGCAGCGAGTGCCAGAAAAGCCGAGTGGCCCTAAGAACCAAGAAGACCTGCTCATTGAACTCTGGGTAAATGCCATTAACAGCTAATAGGCACGTGAGCTGCATGATTTTCTCAAGCTTTTCCTATCGGGCTGCACACATTTTTCTCAGGCTCCATCCCAGGAGCCGAGGCAATTGTCATAATTAAAAATGATGAATGAGCTGACAATTGAGCAAAAGATGTTGCCAATTGGATTCGACGTCGATCGTTGCAAACACACAGACACAGATGCTGGTACAGGCCCAACAATTTTCATTTGATGAGACAGGTAGACAGACAATTGTAATTCCTGGCAGCAGGCCGCGGTGTTTCGTGCGTGTTTCTTGGCCATGGCCAGAATATATTTGTTAATTGTTTTCAATTTCGTGCTGCTCCCTGCCAGACTTTGGCTGCATTCCTCAGTTGTCTCATTCGCGCATTCTTTGCTGTCATTATTAGTGTGCGATGATCGGAACGGAAGTTATTTAGCCATTCTTCCTCTGGCTCTTAACTTGGCCGCTTTTGCTGATGAATTGCACAAATTAAGGCTAAGAATCATTTGAAATGAAAATGTTAAAAATGTTGCGTCTGCCCAGCTCCGCCGCCTGTCTTGCTTGAGATACTTTGCCAGCTCGTTACAATTTGCTTGGCAAACAGAAGAAGACTTGCACTTTGCAAGTAAATTACAGTTGATTTGGCAGAGACCAAATACACTTGGCATAAACAAGATTATTTTAATTACACTCAACAATTCAATTTTGTTCAATTAGTAAGCATGCGACGTGTCTCTGGGATTCAAGACTTGACAACTGACTCATGACTGCATAGGTGGAAGCCTAATTAAAGAGGAGACTTAATTACACTTGTCTATTAGATGAACGACTAGTTAGCAACTAGTTGCCTGTTTACTATTCTGCTTAAAACGTAATCACAATACTTTCCTTCTTTATCTTTAATTAGTGTCAAACTCTTACCTAAACAGAGCTCAGCTGCTGCTGCTGCTGCTGCTGCTTTGCCAGCTGTTCCACTTGACGTAATCACACCTAATGCTTGACATTAATTAAACTGTTCCGGAGTTCGGACTGCATCGTGTTGCACTTTGAAGGACAGCACCGGATGTGCGTATGCTTCTGTTGCGGTGTATACTCGTTCGCGAAGTGAAAATAGTATATTGGAGACGCGAAATGTTTGTCTGTAAAGCATCGCTGTTAAAGCTAGATACATGCTTGTTGAGACAGATGACTTACTCGTTCACTAGAGGCGTTAAATATGAATATACCTTTAGAAACATGCATCCTATAACTTTATTAAGCCAGAGGCTTCAATTTTCGAATATGTACTAGAGTAGACAACCAACGACGTTTCATATATTAGTTATATACCCAATCAAATTGGAAGCTTTTTTAATTTGACCACAATTGTATCGTCCACAGTTTTTTAGGTAAAATACCTAAATTTGGCAAGTCGTTGGGCGAGCATTATGAAGTCGGGTTAGTCAGACTACAACGTGCTTATGTATTAAGTATTCATTTAATAAAACCAAAGAATGTCAAAGTTAAATGACTGCAAGTGGCTCGCAATGACATCCCCATCCTACTATTCCTGATTGTGATATAAGCCAAGAGCATGTTTACATTTATATCTAGTGTGTGTGGATTTATGAGGGTGTGTGTGTGAGTGTAAATTAAGCTGACTGTCAAGTGGCTGGGCAATCAATTTTGCGTTAAGTGTTTCGCCAGCCATGGCTTAGCAAACTGTTGCTTTTGATAGCGTTTTAATTAAATTTTAATAACAATGCCAACACAGAGCGACAAAAACAATCAACGTCCAGCAAGCAGCAGCAAAAACAATAGCAACAACAAGAGCAGCTGCGGCACAGACAAGTACAAGCGAGCCTTTGGCCACTTTAATTAAATTATGCACAGCGAGCCTAATGATATAATTTAACACCTTGCTGTGTGGAGTTGCATAACAACAGTGACCACGCCCCAATAAAAACAAGAACGAAAACGCAGCCTTGTTCATGTGAAGTGATACCGAATCAAAAATACCCTGTAAAAGAATGTGACTGGATTGCAGCGGCTTCGCTTAATCAGTCGAATATTTTTAACTATTTATGCAAAAATATCTTTTACTCTTATTGTTTAGTTGCATATATGAAAATCAAGATATTTACAAAATTGGATAGTTTGTTGTTGACTCTGGGTAAATATATTCGCCAGTATAAAAATGTTTGTATTATATACAGAACACAACAATCTCTTGACAAAGCCTTTTTATCTTCAATGGATGCTAGCAATACTGTAAAAACTTATTGATAGTATGGAAGCAACTGGAGCCAATGCCAATTGTCAACAAATTAATTTATTTACAAATAAACAACAGTGAAATGCCACGAATTAATATGCAACTCAAACTAAGTGTAGGTGTAGAGATCCTAATTGCAAGATTGTAAGACCAAGCAAAGGGTTCCAGTAAACTTAATCGAATTTAAGTAGCTTAATCTCTCTATTTTTTTAAAGTATAAAGTACATATAAAATATTTACATTTAGCGACTGGGAATGGATAGTTGGAAATAACTCTAATCATCAATCCATAAGGCATGTTGCATGGAAGAGCCCAAGCCAAGAATGACAGAAAGAGATGTTTTATTTAAGGATGCTCATTGTCATTTAACAATATGAAAATTTGTATATTAAGTCCCTCAGCCATAAATTCAAAACTTATAAATCTCGTTTATCGAACTATTTTATGACAGCTATGTGTAAGCATATGGCATTCAAAGCCTAAACAGCAGCAATATACCCTATTCATTAATTAATGTTGGGTAATGTAGTGTCCACTCAACGCACATGACATGAGCAGCTGTTGTGTCTCTTGAGTCCTCCATTCAAGTTGCCTTTTGCTCGGACAATTCTTTGGAGCTCATAATGAAATATGCTTTTTACTCAACTTAACAACTGTTTGGAATCTTGATGTAAATTATTTTGACATATTATGATACCCGCATCATGGGACACAGGACTGGCTTAGAATAGTCATGTGTAGATTTAATGACAGACTGATTAAGGGATACATATGGGAGAAAAGAGTTTCTGACAAGCAAACTATATATCAATCTGTATTAGCTGCTAAAATCTCACAAATTTAATTAGCCCAAATTCGGGGATTAATTACAATATTTATTCAAAATTTGAATTTAAGTTTTAGACTGTTCTTAACACGTCTTGAGGGGGAATTTAGACAATTTGCTTTTGCGTTTGCTGAAATA